TATTATTATTATTATTATTATTATTATTATTTATTTATTACTTTGTTCTTGATAAATATATTTTCTTCCGAGGGATCTGCCATTATTTGTTCTTAGTTGTATTATTTAACCATTATCCTAGGTTGATGTATTTTAATGATTACTTTTCAGGTAACTTCTTATTTTCATTTAGACCCAAAATAACAGAGGAACTGATTAATTCTGAAAGTTCTCTTTCTTTGGAATGGTCGGATTATGTTAAAGGTGGAAAAGCTGTTCGTCTATCTGGAATATTTAATAAATTAAACTACAGAGTTCGCAAGGCATTATTTGTAAAATCAGTCAAGTGTTCCTTTAGCACAACACATTGCATCCTTAAGTCTGAGGGGGTGCGTGTTGCCAATATGCATTTTCTGATTCAGACAGTTGCTCGAGATATCCCTGTTGCACCTGAAAAGTCTGCTGCTGCATTGAAAAACGAGAATCCAACAGTTTCATTGCTAGAGCAGAAAGAAATATATCTTCTTCCTACTGTACGGATGACCAATATGTTGCATTCTGAGATAGATGTCCTTCTAAGTGAAACAGGTATAGAAATCAGAATATTCAAGAGTGTATTTCTTTTAACTTTGAATTAATGTTTTGATGTTAATTATGGTGAAGATCAGTTGAACCTGGTTGAGTATGACAAAATTGGGAAGCAGGCGGTTATATCATGTGGTTCAACAGTTGATTTTTATGCCAATCCAGAAGTTATATTCTTCACTGTTACTTTAACTTCTTCTAAATCAAGTTCCAAGCCGCTAAATAGTGGGGATTATGTAAAGAAGTTTCTGAAGCAGAAGAATGATGTCCAACATCTGGATATAAAATTGGACTTCGATGGAGGAAAATTTTTTGCAACCTTGAGGTTGTATCGTGGAAAAAGGGGCGTACTAGAGGTTGTTATGCTAGCCTTTGTTTCATTCTGTAGAATTGATATCTAGTGAAGTTCTATATATACATTGGTGGTTTAGTTACTCTAATTTCTTGTGAATCTGTGGAGCTGCTTGCAGGTTGTCATTTTTACATCCTATTCTGTGAAGAATGATACAGACTTCCCCATATATGTTCTTGAAACTAAAAGGTCACCTTTATCCAGGTGATTCCCACACTTTTAGACAGTTAATAGAAACATTAATTGCATCTTTATCCATTCTTGACATATTGTTGGGCACTCCATATGCAGAATTGAACTAGAGAATTTAAATCCGAGCATTCCTTCAGAGCTAGGGTTATGTTTGCCTCCAAAGTCAACTAGTTCATGGTTCTTGAAGTAAGATGGTTTATTGTCTGTCGCTTATTGGTTTAATATGTTAAACCATGCTACATACTGTTTTATTATGCTTTCTATTTTTGTAGTGTCTTATCTTTCTCCCTGTTCCCAGATCTGAAAGAGTGCTACTGAAATTGCTGGAGGACCATACATCAGAGGCATTACTTGACTTGGGTTCTTTATCAGGCCTTACAGAAATAAGCTTTGAGAAAGAAGAGGGATCTGGGATTAAATATGTAACAAAGCTTGGAGTTTCTATAGGTCCTCCTTCAGGAGAAATTGTTGTGCCATCACGAATGGTGACTTTGGTTCCACGGTATGTTATTTGCAACGAATCTGAAGAATGTATCACTGTTCGCCAATACTATTTTCAGGTATGCATTATGTATTTACCAGTTTATATGTGCTCATATATCTGTCTTCAGTAAGTGATTTAGCTGTCTGTGAAGGATGAGGTGGCAGGTGTTATCTCCATCAACAGCAAACAGCGAATGCCACTACAGCTGAAGGAAGGGTTTAAAAAGACAAGAGAGTTCAGTGTATTTGAGCATTTTATTAGAAAGCACAGAAGCTCCAGTGACAATTCCTTGTTATATATTCAGATTCAACTAAATGAGGCTGGATTGGGATGGTCTGGGCCAGTCTGTATAGCCTCGCTAGGACATTTTTTCCTGAAATTCAGAAAACAGACTAATGAAGTTACAATGTCAGACAACAAAATGACACAATTTGCAGCTGTGCATGTGGTGGAAGAAGGTTCTACTCTTGTTTCAAGGTTCTACAACCCACCAAATATGAGTCTGCCTTACCGAATTGAGAATTGTTTGCATAGTCTGTCAATAACTTACTATCAAAAGGTTGTATAACAATTCTGTCTGTTTTTGTATTTTCTCTTAATCTTTTGTCTTTTTTCTCATCACATCATTTAAGAAATTTCCAGGGTTTGTTGGAGCCAGAGGTCCTTGGACCTGCATGCAGTGCTGATTATGTGTGGGATGATTTAACTCTTCCTCGAAGACTGGTTATCCGCATCAATGGTTGTCGTTTGAACCTTGTTATAGAATCTTTCCTCAACAATTATTAGTATAACTAATGCTAGAGTGGTGCTTATGATTGCGCATGTTAAAATTTAGTATATCTTGGTAGAAGAATTTCCAATTAGTGAATATCAACCTCTTAAATGATTAAGTCTGCATGAGCTTAGTACACTAGCCTCTACAGTGTTTAATGTTCCAATGTTGGATTTTTTAGTTACTTTTGGTCATGATTATCTAAATTGTGGTTCTTGTTTTGTGCTTTCCTGAACAAAAAAAGTATTTGACATTGAAATTAAAGTGAATGGTCTGATCTTAAATTTCTTGTTAAGAATTAGATAAGAAACTTTTAGTTATACTCGACACATGTTTTCCCCCAATGGAACTTTCGGGATAGTTGGTTCATGACATGTTAATGTTACACAACTTCTATGCCCATGCAGTTTAGACTCTAGACTTTCATCTTTGTTGCGCCTGATCTTTTATTAAAAAAAAAGTTGAATTTCTGTAAAAGGTAGAATGGTACTGCTGCATTTTCCATAATTAAAGGTCAAAGGCAGCGAAGCGAGCCTTTTAATTTTCAATAGATGCATCATAGTTTTACATTATAGAGAATATCCATTTGCATCCCATTTTTACATTATAGAGAATATCCATTTGCATCCCATTGTACTCTTCCAATTTGGCTGCTCCATCATTTATCACATTTGATTTTTCTCAAGAGCCTTCATCTCTTCTAGGACAACTTCTTTCCACTTGACAATTTCAAAGGCATCTTATACATTATTTTTGAATCTCTATACATGACAATAATCAAGTAAAAGCATGGAAATTTGGTAACAGTTCATATGACCTAATTAGGTGAGGGATGTTGGGTACATTATCTAACACCTTTCCCAATAGCAATAGGAAGATCATGATCAACTAACACAGTGGGTTTCGAATGTAAAACAGATTCAGAACCAGTTTCATTTATTGAATAATTTCAGGATAAGAATTACCTGGTGGGTACTCGAATTCTTGGTGGTATAAAGGATAAGAATTCTTTTTCCTTGTGTGGTGTTCAAACTTCAAAGGGTTCTATACATGTGTTTTGTCTCAGTTTCAATTCCCTTTCTGATTTTGGCCTCATTGTTGTTTGCTTGATAGGGATTGGGACTAGTATTCTCATATGCCTGTACTAAGTCATGAATTGTAGAATTTTCATCATTCACAAGACTAGTTCTATTATTTAACATGTTTGACTCGTTATTTTAAAGGTATTTTGTCGAATTTTCAACTATTCTCCCTCCTTGAAGAAGGTTGCATTATTTTGTTGATTTGATAAGAAAATTAAGCGTGCTAATTGTTATGATTGCATTATTTTGTTGTACTGTTAAGCCCTCTCTTGTTTTAGCACGTAGGTGGATCTCAAGTCTGAAGTAGGTAGTGTTACAAGACTCATTTTTGTTAAAGTCTAATAGCACTGTTGATTTCTGTTGTAGATAGCCTTCAATTACGAGAGATTAAGTTGGATAAGGTGCGAGCATGGAAACCTTTTCACAAACTTGAGCAACAGAGGGTATTGGCTCCACGTTTGCTTGTAGACAAAAGATCAAGAGATCGGATGATGAGTTTCAGTGAGCATAATAGCCTGGAAATGAAAAAAGTGGGGTATGAAATATATGCAGAGGGTCCAACCCGAGTTTTGCGGATTTGTGAGATCTCTGATAGTTTCAAGAGAGATACTGTTCTTGATTTGTGTGCAAAGATTCAATTGAGAGTTTCTCAGTTTGCAGTTCACCTACTTGAACATGCAATACAGGTATTCATGCTTATATTGGGTGCTGGAATCTGTGAACATCTATTGTCTGTTGATGGTCATTGAAGTTGTACTTTCCATGTTTAATATTTATTGGTAATGTGTGAACATAAACAAATATAGTTTTGGAACAAAAGACATATATTGATTTGTGTCTATCAGGTGATACTGAGCTTTTCTCAGTTTGTAGTTTAAGAGCTCTTGAATCCATCCATCTAAATGGAAAGGGGTATTTCACATACATATGTAAGTAAGGATTTTACATGGATAATATGTCAGTGGTTCAATTTCAAACATTGAGAAAATGTTGTAATTGTGTAGTTTTAATGTCATGAAATGATTTCCTTGTTTACCAATTACCATGCCATTGTATTCAACTCATAATGAAAGCACAGCTGGTAAAGTTGTGCCATTTTTTCCGTAAAGATTTAAACTCCAGTTTTCTGCATTGAAACATTTGTGCACTTTCTAATTTCTACTGATTGCTAAGCTTCTATTTGAAGGAGGAAGATAACGAGTGCAATGATTTTACACCAATTGTAATTGCAAAGCTTGGGAATCTGCACTTGATTACTGTTTCTAATAATCACCAGACATATAACCAGTTCAGTTTACAGGTAATATGATTAAAATACTTAATTTCAACTTTATAACTGACTTGTACAATTTAATTCTTGTTTTTTTTAATACCAAGCCGAGTCTCAGGAAATAAATTATTGCAGTTAAGTGTTTTATTAATTATATGCTATATATATGTTATTGATCCAGTACATGAATTTGGAGCTTAAGTGGAATGGAGCTCCTTTTGCATCAATGCTTCGAAAGCATCAGTTAGATTTGAGTGACTCAAGTGATAGCGTACTTAAGGTTGTTTTTGTTCTACTTACGTCAAGTTCCAATGTTAAGCAATTTAGATACTCGGCAGTTTTTCTTCAGGTAAAGCTGAACGCTAGCTATTGCTTCCTTCCCCCCATCTCTTTCTGGATGTTTTCTTTTAAGCTCTTTTAGACTTTTAGAAGCCAATAATGTTCAATTAAGGAATCAGTTGAACAGCTCCATATGTGTTTTGACATACCTCTTTGTGTAGCCAATTGATTTGAACCTTGATGAGGAGACACTAATGAAAATTGCGTCATTTTGGAGAACGTCTCTTAATGACTCAGAGAGTCAGCGGATTTACTTTGATCATTTTGAAATCCATCCAATAAAGGTTTCCTTCTTCGTTAATGTCTATTTTTCCTTTAATTTGAATATTTTGATTTAATTTGCATTTCTGAATCTATCCTGTATTTTCTAGATCATTGCAAACTTTATCCCTGGGGAATCACGTTCGAGTTACAGCTCAACACAGGAGGCTCTGAGGTCCTTAATTCATAGTGTGATTAAGGTTGTTTAACATACATTAGTCTTCTTTTCTTTCCTAAAGAATCCAAACCACGATGGATGCTTATGTACTTAGTCATGTTGAATCCTTATTTTTCTCCTCAGGTACCTCCCATAAAAAATATGGTAGTAGAATTGAATGGGGTCCTGATTACCCATGCTCTGATAACAATGCGTGAATTATTTATTAAATGTGCACAACATTATTCATGGTAAGCCTATGACATACTTTCTTTTCAATTTTATATCGAAGTTACGACTGAAAATTGAAGAGCTTGTTCAGGTATACAATGAGGGCCATATATATTGCTAAAGGAAGCCCCTTGCTTCCCCCAGATTTTGTTTCTATTTTTGACGACTTGGCTTCATCATCTCTTGATGTCTTCTTTGATCCGTCTCGTGGATTGGCAAATCTTCCAGGATTCACCTTAGGTATATGATATGCTCTGTTAGCTTCCTGTCTGCTCCCACTTTTATTTTCTAATAACTTTCACTTTCTTTTAAGGACCCAGAAACAGATTCTGAGTTTCGGTAGAAGGGATTAAAAGAACAGTAAAGTAAAAAAGTGAAAGAATACTTATGCAAGGTTTTGTTAAATTAAAAAACTAAGACCATAGTAACTTTAAGCTGAAAAAGGGAAAAAAACTCTCCTTTCAATTCCAAGGCTTTCCCCTTTCTACAACTTGTTAAAAAGAGAGGAATAATAGCTACATATTTCCCCTTTCTACAACTTTTAGAAGAGAGGAAAAATAGAGACATATTAGGCTGAAACTGTGTGTTTTGAACTTTGAATACACAATGGATGCAGGTTTTGATAGGCTTATTACATTAATTATACATAAATAAAGGACATTTTTTCCCTCTAAATTAAAGATTACATGCCTATAAACCACTATATTTCAATAAATACAAAATAATAATTTATTCTCCCCAATTTGGAGCATATAAATAACATGCATCCAGCTTGTTACATATATAGCCAATAAGCTCATGGTAATATCTCGTGATTTGATCTTCTCCATGATGAAATTGCAATCAACCACAATATGTTTGGTTCTATGATGAAAGACTTGTTTAGATGCAATATGAAAGCTGCTTGATTATCACAAATCAACGTCATTTGTCTAGTCTCTTCAAGCTTGAGCTCTCGATTGTTGCAGCCACATGAGTTCACAAGCCATGGCCCTGTGTTATGCTTCAGCTCTTGACTTTGCTACATCATTTTACTTATTACTTTTACAAGATACCAAGTTTCCTCCAATTAACACACAATACCTAGAAGTGGATTGCGTATCATTGGGTGACCCAGCCTAATCGACATCTAAGTAGATCACTATCTAAGCTTGTCCTCTGTCTTCATATATGAAGCCTTTTCCTGGAGCACTCTTCAGCATTTGAATTATTACATCCATCTCAATGATCTTTAGTATTTGAATTATTGCATCCTAATGATCTTGATAGGGAGATTTCAAGAATTGGCTTACCACGCTTACTAAAAGAAATGTCTAGACAAATGACAGTGAGATTGTTTAGACTTCCAACTAACCTCTTATATCTCACATGATCCAATAAGGTCTCCCTGATTGGGTAGCAATTTGGCACTAGGATCCATAAGAGTGTCCACTGGCATGGCATTCAATGGACCAATCTTTTCAAGGATGTCAAGAGCATAGTTTCTATGAGAAATCACCAAACCATTCTTGGATTGAACAACTTTGATACCTAGGAAATACTGAAACCTACAAATGTCTTTGATTTGGAGCTAATGTGAGAGGTCCTATTTCAAGTGGAGAATGCTATGTTGGTCACAATGTGTAATGACAATATTGTCCTATGTTGCACTATTGCCCAACAATTTGGTATAATTAGCAGTTGTGACCAACAAGTGGTGAAGGCCATGTTGGTCCCAATTATACCATTGTGACAATATCGACTTAACTACGAACTATACAAAATTGTTGGGAAATTGTGCAAAATTGACCAAGCTAGGCATAAGGAGATTGCTTAAATTCATATAGGACCTATGAAGCTGACATACCATAGTAAAGGACTCTCTCTGAGCACAAAACTAGGTGATCGCTTGTTGTAGACTTCTTGAAAATCTCTATGCATGAAACTATTTTTAATATCAAGCTGAAAGAGGCTAGTGGCAAATGGAGGACATGGAGAACAAGAGTTTGATAGTAGCCATTTTGGACATTGGAAAAAAGTATCAATTTAGTCCTCCCTAAACACATGAGTATAACCTTTCGCTAGTAGGTGTGCCTTGAAATAGTTGATTTTGCTTTTAGGGCCAACCTTAAAGATGAAAATCCATTGGCACCCAACAACAAATTTTCCATGGGAAAGAGGAACTAGTTCTTAGATACAACTGCTTTGGAGTGCACAAATAGTCAATCATTGCTTCCCACCATTTGGGATGAGATAATGTTTCCCATAGAGTATTGTGGGTAGAGTATTGTGGGTAGACACAAAAAGACAGAACAAAGGCACATATAATGCGAGGGAGAAAGATTGTGATAATATAGTGAGGAGATGGGTTTCGAGTAAAACGTGTACCTTTTCTCATAGCAATGGACAACTCAATATCAAGGGGCAGGCCCAAATATAGTAAAGGAGTTGATGCCAGGGAAGAGTCTCTCGCATGGCCTCTCTTAGGGGTTGGTGCAGAATAACTATAAGGTGTTAGCGACATTCATATGCATAAAGAGGTCGCACGGTCGGGAGCTCCTTTGGTGGAACATCCTTTATTCCTTTAGCACCAGAGTCATCTTGAGTAACAAAGAGAAGTGTATTTGTGTTTTGAAGACTAGCTCTAATCCCTTTTTTATAGACTAAATGGATAATCCTATTATGGGAAATAGGGAAATTAACATAAAATGTAAATAGGCAAAATATCAAAGATATAATGATGTATTTATATAATCCTAATAATATCAAAGATATAGTTAAAGTTGTGATCTTTTGGGACAAAATAGTGGGTTACCTTACTGATGTAAACTTGCATATTTATATGGGTGAAGGTTTAGCACAAAATACAACAAGACAAAGAAGAAAAGATAGTGACTTTTATCATTGATTTGGAGAAACAGCCAAAAACGGCTTTTATAAATGTACAATAAAATACAATGGATAACAAAATGTCTAATTTAACACTCCCCTCAAGCTGAAACATACAAATTTTTTGCACCAAGCTTGGAACAAATGAGTTGTATCCAAGGTCCTGTAAAAGATTTGGTCAACATGCTTGCAAGTTGATCACAGGAGTTGATAAATTCGATGCTGATCTCTTTGGACAACAACTCCTCTCAAACAAAATGGTAGTTAACCCCTATATGCTTAGTCCTCTCATGAACACTAGATAGAGGCAATGTATAGAGCTGCATGATTATCACAATATAACTTCATATGGTTATCTTCACAAAATTTTGACTCTTATAAGAGTTGTTTAATGCACACAACACAAGTTCACAAGTAACTAAGGATATAGCTTAATATTTTGCTTCTACACTAGATTGGGTCACAACATTTTGTTTCTTGCTCTTCCAAGAAATGATATTTTCACCAATAAATATACAATATCCTATAGTAGAGCACTTATACATAGGGCAACTTGCCCAATCAGCATCACAATATCCAGAAATTTTGTCCCCCTTGTCTTCATACAAGAATCCTTGTCCTGGATCCTTTTTGATATAACTAAGAATGCATAAAACATTATGGTGATCAATATAAGGGGCTTGCATACAACCCCCACAGTAAAAGAAAGATTAGGTCTTGTGATTGTAAGATAAATAAGCTTCCCCACCAATTCTATGGGTCCATTTGTTTAAACATTAAAAAAGTGTTTCTAAACAAGTGATTTTAAAAAAGCAATTCTTTAAGAAGTAGAAAGGAGTTGCTTCATAAAAAAAGCAAAACTTCTTATTTTTAAAAAACTAGTTTAGACAAATACATCAAAAAGTAAAAATAGTGACTATTTTATTTTTAAAAAAAAGTGCTTTTATAAGAAAAAGTTTAAACAAATGGACCCTATATCTCTTTGAATCTATGAATTGTTCACCGTGAGTAGCCATTAAACTTTGATTTGAATCCATAGTACTATCAACAGACCTGCATTCAATCGTGCCTATTTCATTGAAAATGTCTAAAGCATACTTCCTTTATGAGATTACAATGCCTTCGTTTGATTGGGCAACCTCAATGCCTAGAAAGTAATTAAGGCAACCAAGTTCTTTGGTCTAAAATTGACTAAATAAGTGCCCTTTTAGCTGGGAAATTTTAGCAACATCATTTCTTGTAATCATCATGTCATCAACATAAACAACTAAATTAACACATTTTGAGAGAGGGATGACAATAGAAAACTAAACGATCTATTTCACTTTATTTCAACCCAAAGTCTTGCATCACATGGCTAAATTTCCCAAACTCAAAGAGACTATTTGAGACCATAAAAGATCTCCACAATTTACAAGCTAGACCAAAAATTAAAGGGACAAGTAAAACCAATTGAATTTGGCAAAATATTTTAATGAGGAAGAATATAAAGGAGTTTCATCAGAGAATGTAACATTACCAAACATGTAGTACCTTTGGGTGTTTGGAGAGTATCATTTATATCCTTTTTGAATAGAAACTTGATCACTTCCTTTGGGAGTAAAGTGGACCCATCTGTTATGGCTAGGGTAATAAGATGAGGAAATTTAAAAAGAGACTTGGAGGAGAAAAGAAAACCATTATCAATTATATGGCCAGAAGCACCTAATTCAATAATCCATGGACTCTGATTAGCACTTGACTGAGAAACACAAGTTGTTGAAACACTAGAAGTGGGAGTAGAAGATGGCTGAGATCGATATGTGGCTTTCCATCTTTGGGAACCTTCAAAATTTTCAGATTTAGACAGGTTTGTTGTCTTCTCTAGAAAATCATGAAGTGAGTAGTAGTTTTCTTGGGTCTGGCCCATCCTCTTGTATTAAGAACATTGAGGACTACCACCTCTACCCTCTCTTCCTCCATGGTTTCCACATCCACCTTTTCCTTGGGTAGAAACCATCGTAGAAGTTTCAATAAACCCAGTTGAGCTTTCACCTTTCAATTTAGTGGAAACAGAGAAGTTTAGTAACAAGGTTGTCCATTGAAGGAATTTCAAAACCAATCAGAATTTGGTCATGCACATGATTAAAATTAGAGTGTAGTGTCCACAAAATCATCAACTTATACAATCTACCATGTTTCTTCCTTATTCCCTCCAATGAATCATCATCATCCAAAAGCATCCTAAGCTCTTCCACTATAGCTTGAGCTTCAACAACATGGGAAATCATATCATGACTAGTTTGTTTGAGGGAAGCTATATTTTGGGCAGCATCGTACAGGTGTCAGATGTCATTTGCATAGATGTTTTAGGGCTTCTTCTAAAAGGAATAACAACTTTTAAAAGTTCAAAGGGTTCCTAACATATTTGGTTCTATAGATTGCCATAAAACTACTCATAATTGAAAGTTCAACTTCTTCCACTAAGCTCAGCTTTCTATCGATCCTTGTACATCCTTTTTTTTCTAAATGGTCATGGTATCCTTGACTAAGAAACCAATGCTCCACAAAGGCAACCCATGATTAATAACTTTTACCACTGAGCTTCTCAGTGGTAATGGTGAGAGTCCCAAAAATTGAGAGAGCAAGGGCTTGGAGATGCCATACAACAAGAATGCAAGAGAAAAGAACCCAAATGAAGATGGTAAGAATAGAAACACAACCAACTACTTCCAATATGAAGTAACCAAGCGTTGGAATGGACCCAAACAACACTGATGAGCACAAAGACGATGGCGTGACAAAGCTTTGACATCCAGAAGGCGACGCATGTATCACATGTGCCTTATAGAGGCTCCCAAAAAACAGACACGTGGGTGTGTGAGTGTGAGGAGGTTGATGCCTCCAAATTCTCTTGGGTTAGGCCACGCTCAATGAGACACACCGAACCCTAGGTTTGTTAGAAAATATGCTCGACAGTGGACAAAACAGTGAGTTACCTCACTGATGTAGAACGTATATTTATATGGGTAAAGGTTCAGTACAAAATACAAAAAGAAGTCAAAAGAAAAGACAGCGATTTCTATCACTGATCTTAAGAAACAGCCAAAAGTAGCTTTTGTAAAAGCTGTACAATAAAATACAATAGATAACAAAAGGTCTAATTTAACAGATATAACATCAAAGATATTTACTAAACTTAATGAGATTACTTGCTAAAAGAAGGCTTATTGGGACCCACGGACTAGGAGGAGGAATGCTTGTCTTCAGCCATCTCAAAAAATGATCTATCCTAAATTAGTGCCTATTTACAATAGTCACTTATTTCTCAATTATTTATTTTCTAATATGCAGGCTGATAATTGTGTTTTTGTGTTACTGTTTCAAATGTGAGATATGACATTAGGACAAGCATTCCTATGTATTTTCTACTAACTATTTGTATTTTTTTTCCTGCTATTAGGTACTTTTAAAATTATAAGTAAATGTATCAAAGGTAAAGGTTTTTCAGGGACAAAACGGTACTTTGGTGATTTAGGGAAAACTGTAAGTTCTTAGCTCCTTGTTGTCTATTATTTTTTTCATTGAATAAAAAATGTGATTATAGAGTATCAGCATATTAATCAATTCATGACTGCTCAGCAGTTGAGATCAGCAGGCTCCAATGTAGCTTTTGCAGCTGTAGCGGAAATATCAGACTCTGTTCTGAAAGGTGCAGAAGCAAATGGTTTCAATGGATTGGTAAAGAGTTACCACCTTTTGTTTGTTAATTCAGTTACTGTCATTTTAGCAAGGACTTATTCTCTATTAAATTATGATGTGTTTTATATTTGCATTTTTGACAAATTTAATTTTCAAGATGAGTGGCTTTCACCAAGGAATTCTAAAATTGGCTATGGAGCCATCAGTTTTGGGAACTGCATTGATGGAAGGTGGTCCAGATAGAAAAATATTGCTTGATCGAAGTCCAGGAGTTGATGAGGTGTTAAATAATATCTTGTTTCACTTATAGTGTTTGAATATTTAAATGACTAAAGTTGAAAACTCTGTATTTTATTCTTTAGGGTGTTGGGATGTATGTTTATACGAGGGATATCTCTTTCTTAATTCTTTTGTTTTAAAATAAAATCGTTTCAGACTTCTTAGGTTGAAGGAATGTATGCATGTATCAAAATTTTAAACATATGATTGAGGGGAGGGGGGGGTGTAAGAAAATTAGAAATTGTGTGGTTACAACTTACAATAATTGAATGAAAGAGGACTGAATATTATTTTCTGAATAAATGTATTCAGCGTCCCTAAAATATATTTCTATGGTTACTAATGTTCTGTTCTGATCTAGAAAGTAATTACAATATTTCAAATGCTACCAATGTGGGACTGTTACAACACAATATATAACTTATACAATATTAATTAGAAAACTATTTGAAGGAAGGAATTTAATACGGAGAATATTTAATCTTGTTGGTATATATGAAAATATCCTATAGTATATTGATTATATCTTTGAATATATTATCCTTTTAGGAACTTTATCTTATTCATAGGGGATCTTATCTTTAGGAAGTTATTTGTTCTTTAGAATTAAGATTCTTGAATTAGTATAAATAAGGGTTAGTGCTTCATGTTTTGCAACTCATTTTGTAATGCATCACATCATATCAATTGATCTGGCCCTAGTTTTTGTCCCAGAGCCCTGATCTCAATCCCAGATGCAATCTCTATAACATATATCTGTCAAATTCTGTTAGAATGATAAGTAACCGTCACTAACTGTGTTGATTAACAGATAGCAACCAGCTCAGGGCTTACTAAGAAATATAATGAAATATGGAAACCACTCCTAAGATGTTATTTATTCTAAGATGCTGTAAATGTATTATGCTATATTTTTTTAGATATTCTAACAAAATCTGCAAAGTTTTATAAATCTAAGGATATTGATTAATTGTGCTTATGACTTTAATTTCTCACTTTTTGTAATTATGTTGATACATTGATGCTTATCAAAAGAAATATTTATACTTTCAGTTCTTACATCTTGGTTTCTGAAAATCTTGATTTGGTCGTCAGTTTACTAATTTGATATGTGGCCTATTACAGTTATACATTGAAGGATATATACAAGCCATGCTGGATACAGTATACAGACAAGAGTACCTTAGAGTCAGGGTTATTGAGAATCAGGTAATAGTTGAGCTAAGAGTACATTTAGTTTGTCGTGTAGCCATAAAAGATTATCTTTCAAGTTTTTTATCATATCTGGAAAAATATCTTTACATGCCTTAGAAGAACACTAGCAAATTCTTTCGATTTGATTCGTTTCAGCATGGAACTTTGCATGTTATACGGTGAAGTGATTGGTTTGATTTTAATAATAATACCGGAGAGCATACAAATTGGATAATAATTAATCTAAAAATCCAAGTATGCATGCAGGACATCTTATTAAGGAGTCTTGATTCTGATCTGCACCGTGATTGAGCTGTCGATGTGCATTGTTACTGTCGAGTTTTGTTTCGATTCTTTGTAATTTTCTTGTTAGTTTTCTGGTGGATGACTTGTTATCCTCCTATCTTTCAATTATTTGCTTTCTTAATGAATTTTTTCAATGTAAAAAAAATATTAAACTTTGCTCTTTACTGTGTGGTTGTGATGGACTCTTGTACATGTTTAGGTTATCCTGAAAAACCTACCTCCAAATCATTCTCTTATCAATGAGATCACGGATCGTGTTAAGGAGTTCCTTGTGAGCAAGGCATTGCTAAAAGGAGATCCCTCAGCCAGATCTCGCCCTTTAAGCCGTCTTCGAGGAGAAAGTGTATGTCCTATTCTAGTGAGCACGTCTCATTTATCCCCCTTATTTCATCCTTTTCTCTATTTGGCATTTCCATCTTCCTTCTTATATTTTGTCACAGCAATAACTTTCCATGATTATAATGATGACCCGCAAATGTTTTCTACTTTCATTTAAAGTATCCTGGTCTTTTTATACGAGAATCAGGGGTTTATATATTCTTGATGTGCTAAATAGCTTCCCAAACTAACATTTCACGATGTAAAGTTATTGATTCGGGGATATTTATGTCAGGAATGGAGAATAGGACCAACAGTCTCGACTTTGTGCGAACATCTTTTTGTTAGCTTTGCCATACGCATACTTCGGAGGCAGGCGAACAATTTTATACTCAGAATAAAATGGGGAAAGAAGTCAGAGGTTGGCAGTCATGCAGATGTGGCGGAAAACTCTAGTCAAAAAGTGCAGAAAGTGAGTTTCATTCGAAGATGGGGCATCGGCAAATTTGTCTTTTCTGGCTTGTTGGCATATATTGATGGACGTCTATGTCGTGGCATTCCCAATCCTGTAGCACGGAGAGTAGTTAGTGGTTTTCTATTGAGTTATATTGACCAAAGTGATGATGAGTAATACTAATATTGCCTATAATTGTATAGGATGTCAAGTCCCGCTGGTGCATGAGAATATCCGCGACATGCTAGCGTAGCTTCACGTTCAAAGTCAATACCCTATGGCTAGTAGTAGGTAGTAAACATTAACGCTTTTTGGGTAAAGTGAGAAATAGTAAGAAAGAAAGAAGTTGGATACTAGGTGCTTAGTAGAGTCAAAAATGTGTAGGTTTTAGGGTCTTTGTATCGAAAGTAGTGCAAGGGAAGTAGGAAAATAGTAAAACATAAAATAAGATGATTTAATGAGTTCTACAAATTTTACATCTAATGGTTAAATTGTTAATTATTTAAATGTGTAAAATTACAGTAAGACTTTTCTTTCTCATTCCTCCACTCACCGAAACGGCGCAAACTCAAACGAGCAAGTTCATCTCACGTCTTAGCTCAATTCGCCACCCACATACTGCATGTGTCTCTTTTCTCCGTAATAGCACCACCGTGTCGAGATCCACCACCGCAAAGCATAGTGTAGTACCATCTGTGTGTTGGCGTCCTGTTCTTGTGTCAGCTCGTCCATGAGCGACATTGGAACACGATGGAGAATGACGATGATAGTATGCAGATCGCAAAAGCGGAGTCCGACTAGCGGAGACACCAGAGTGCAGTGGCCACCATTTTTTTTAGCACATCATAGTTGCTTCTCTTGATTGTTTGCTGCAACAATAAATTCACAATTTTTACTACTATTTCGGGTGAAAAGGTGGGAATTTTGAAAAGTTTAGTTGTATTTTGCAATTAGAGATGATTTGCTTCATCATTTTACTTGTATTTTCTCAACATAATATGCATCTAATGCTTTCTGAGGGTTGCCCTCTCAAATCATTATAATTAACAATAACTCATTGAATTCATAATTACCTTTGAACCCTTGCTTCTATTAAAATCATTATAATTAACAATAACCCAAATTGAAGACATAATCACCTTTGTCACGGTTCTTTGGCGGATTCCGTAATGGACTCACAAAGGAGGTCGAAGTAGAACCTTCAAAATTTGTCCAATAAACTTCCTTCTAACTACAATGGTAATTGAAATTACAAATTAGAAAAAGCTAACATTTAATATTCTAAAATAACTTAATTTACAATTAATTTGTTTGTCAAATAGTAACCGGTGATAAATCTTGACTATTGATTTTATAACTATATATCTTACGGTTAAAAATTATTTATTCATCCATGAACCACATCTTGAAAAGCAAAAATGACTTAGTTCAGCAGTGAACCACTTCAATTGGGACTCATGGTAGACTTAGCCTTAATCACAGCAATATCTTGATTTCTAAATAATAACCTTTTGGTGGCTTGAAACACATGATTAATACTTTCTCCTTCTTACAATAATTGTATTTAAAGTTTTTATACACACATTAAAGATAATAATAAATATTTTTATTTAATTTTGCTAAAATAACTCACTTTTTTAATAAATGCATTATGATGTTAAATAATTTATGAAATAGTAAATTGGAAAAAAAAGTTTATTAATATTATATTAAAAGGTGGGAATATTATTTTCAAACATTTTTTAAATACTAAAATTACGGTCATCGTGGAAAGGAATGAGTAAAATAATATATTACATTTTTTTTATTCTATTTATTCTAGTCAACATATGCGTTTATCACATAGATAAGAAGCATTTCAATATTTCAATTTCTTAGTAGGATTTGAAATCTTATAATGACAGCATCTCTATGCTAAACTCATAGTTATTTAAATACTTTTTTTAATGAGTCTTACCCATCACATCCTACTTAAAAATTCTTACTACTTTCTTTTTTATGGTGTGGGTCCTATTTTCTTCTCTATCTCAACTTGTTTATATTTATTTTATCATTAAAAAAAATGGTTGAGCAACCAACTATAAGCAACTTGTTCTTTTAATGTCACAATATTTGCTCTAATGAAAAGAAAAAAAAACTGTCAAGTTTTTCTTCTTTATCTCAACTAGTTTCTATTTATTTTATTATTAAAAAAAGACTAAGCAACCAATCATAGAGTTGCTTATATAAGCAATTTGTTCTTATAATCCCGCAATATTTGCTCCAATTGCCAAAAATTGTCAACTAACAGTAGGTAAGAGTTAAGCAACTCAACAAGCAACTACGTTGGAGTTGCTCTAATTAAAGTCAAATAAAAGGTATTAACTTTATGTATAAGAACTAATCTAAAATGTCTTTTGTATTGTTTTTTTTTTTTCAAGAAATATATTTAACTAAATTCATGTAATTGTAGAGTGAGTTTCATTAATATTAAGGGTAGTTTTGAAAATAAAATTATAAATTTAATATTATTAACTAAATTAATTAACCATTGTTTATACTAATTCATGACTTTAAGTATGGAAAAGAGTATGTTGGAAGAAAAATATCTATCTTATACATGCTAACAATATTCGGTGAAAATTAATCGTTGTTTTCAATAGTGGATTCTTTGTACCTAAATCATGGTTACCAAAAATATAAAACTAATTAACTAACTTGTTTTATTCTAATGAATTGGTAATTGAGTTTTATAAAAAGTTAGATAGAGTATCAAGTTCATCATAAAGTGTATTGTAGTAAAGAAAAATGTTAAGAATATACTCTCCTTCCATTTTTTTATCAATGGAAAAGACAAAAACAAAAGGAGGAAGAAAAACTAACTATCCCTAGGATATTGTCGAGTGTCTTTTATTCATGAATTACATTCAACTTTTGGTACTCTTTTTTTATAAATTATAAATATAAATATATATATATATATATGATAATTTAACTCTAATTAGGAAGAATTAAGTTTATATTAAAAGATAGAAGAGTAGTAGAAAATTAATGATGATTTCCCTCATTTTTTGCAGAAAATTTAGGAAGACAAAATTTCACAGCGACAATTGTGGTTCTGGAGTGTGGAAATTTGGGAAGAAATCAGAATGTCAGAAAGTTGCAACTATAGTTGTGGTTCTACAACTATAGCTGTGGAAATCTGGAGTGCAAATTTAAGGGTCCAAAGACTTGAAGCTAAAGCTATAGGCTCACAGCTTGAGCCATGGAACACTGATGATTGAGAGAGAGCACCAGAGAGTCACAACCATAGCTGTGAAATTCACAGTTACAGCGTTGGAGGTTCCTTAAGCTTGAAGGAGTTTCCACAGTTATGGTTGTGAAACCACAGCTGCAACTGTGAAGCTTACTTCACCTTGAAGAACTCTCCACAGTCATAGCTGTGATTCTACAGCTGCAGCGGTGGACTTAAAAATTACAATTCCTCCCCTGTTTTGAAGCTAATATAAAAGGGAAAGAAGGAACTTTTGGAGAAGAGAAAAAAAAAACAGAGCAAAAACAAGGTCAAGAGCACACGAAGGGGCCGGGAAGAACAGAGTGGGAACGAAGATTGGGAGGCTGGATCACTTGGGAATGAGGATCAACTCCTTTTCTTCATCTCTTCCTTTGTAATTTTTTCTTCTACTCCTTTGATCTTGTAAATGGCCATGAAGGGCTAAACCTTTTGAGGATTGGTCTTGGTCTAACTACTAACTCTTCTATTTCTTAAATCTATATATGCATTTCATCCTCATTACTTGTGCTTGATTCTACTTTTAATGCTTATATCGGATTGATCACCCGTTGTATGAATTTTTGGTTTTTGAATCCTGTTGGAAAACGTTTTTGAAAACCTGAACTGAATCTTGCACCTAATCATCTCTTGTTCTAGGGATAGACTTGATATGGTTAGTCACTATTGTTCAAGTCATTGGTCTTAATGCAAAGTGTTAATTTCAAAACATAAAGGAATCATGTTTTAGATTAATTAGGATTCAACTTTGAGGAATCTTGTTGGATTACTAAATGAACATGGAGGTAATGAAATTGAAATCATATTTATTTTAAGAAAATTTAAGAGTTAGCAAGTGCTCCAGGGTCCAATCACTACAAGAATTTCACGGATTAGCGAGGGAATTTAGCGAGGGATATAAATCCAAGTCACCTTGAAGAACTCTCCACAGTCATAGCTGTGATTCTACAGCTGCAGCGGTGGACTTAAAAATTACAATTCCTCCCCTGTTTTGAAGCTAATATAAAAGGGAAAGAAGGAACTTTTGGAGAAGAGAA